ATATCGGATAAATTTATTTGATATTCGAAATTTATATAAATAAATTTATCTGCAACCAACCTCTGGTTCTTTTTTCTCTACTGAAAAACATTTGATATTTGCTATCTATATACTGTAGCATTTACATATTTGTAATCATTATACTCATTACAATCAATCATTTTAGCACCTTTGACTAAAAATATCATTTTCATGTGTTTTTGTTTTGTTGTTGCTCATTTTCGGCCATTTCGAAACATATTCATTTTCTTAAACTGAAAAATTCCCGCTTTGTGTCAAAAAACGTTTTTGTCTTGCTGTGACCGTCGTTAAGTCGTTCTTTAATGTCTCATCATAAACATTTCTTTCATCCATGTTTTTTCTTCTTTTTTTCAAATACTTTTTCAGATCACAGTCTCAATATTTTCTTTTTTCTGTTTTTTTGTTTTTTCTAAACAATTTCCTTAATCAAGCGATTTCTTTCATGCGTGCTACTTGCATCGAAAAAGGTAAACGAGACCAAAACGAAGCACAATAACACATACACAGTCAATTAAAAAAAAAATTAAATAAAACACTTTATGAAAAATAGTGCAATGTCTGCTTTTATTGTTGTTGTCTCCAGGAGAACCGAAGAAAAACGATACATACAAATTGAACACATTTCTGTTTGAATTGATCCGAATCAGATGGTTTTTTTTCGTTCTTCCTATTTCGTTTTTCAATTCGATAGAATTTTTATTTATCAAATTACAATTGGTATGATCGAATTCGATACAAAAAGAAAGAAAAAAATGATCCGAAATTTTCAGCCACCAAGTACACCCAAGTAATGAGTACAAGAAACATTATGGATCGAAAAACAAAAGTTTCGTCGTCACAAAACGCCGAACTTTTTAATGATCATCGAGCATCGAGCATCGACCGCAAAAAAAAACACTAGAGTATTCAAATCTGTAAAATTCCCATCGATTTCATCCTCTTGATGAAAATGATAATAGCAAAGTATGAAATTGTTTCCGTTGTAGATTTTGGCTGTAGTTGGAAATTGTAGATGAAAACTCTGATGTAGTTTAGACAACAAATTTGCTCTGCATGTTTCAATCATCTATTCCGCTCTCCCAAATACCGATGCACATGAATGATGATGCAATTTTAATTTAAAGCTTAAACTCACTGCCAAAAGCACAAAAAGCGGCATTTTTTCTTTAAATTGAAAGGCGATTTACAATGCGAAGCAATACTGGCGAATGTATTGACATCAATGCAGTTTATATTGCATGTTATGATTTTGGCATGTGTGTTTGGGAATGCTTTTGTTTGGTCTTGGCTTGCTTGATATTTGCCACTGGCATTTATATTGTTTTGCATGTACCACCTCTGTTTCTATTGGTAAACCGTGTTCGGTTAAATTTAGTTTATGCTGATGTTTTGGCTTTTATTTTCAAAATTTGGTTTTATTCAATTTTCGTTGAAAACAATTTTAGCACTAGTTTATGTAGTACATACAATAGCAAGACTTCAATGAAAAAAGAAAGCTTCTGTTTTTTTTTTTGGTTAGACTCGGCAAGAGTTGAGCTGGAAATTTTTGCTAAATAACAGTTCCCGATACAAAGTTTGAAATGAATATGTTATATACTTTTTTTTCTCTTTTATTTTATTAAACAATTTAATTTCCTTTCAAAAAATGTACAGTTTATTTAATTCTCAATTTGTTCATGGAAAGCGTTCAGATTAACAAACATTAACATGAAATGACATTAAAATAGAAAGCATATAAACACACTTATACAATTAGATTAGGACCAAACAATATCTATTTTGCGGTTTAATCTTGTGATTGTGACGATGTGTGCCACATGCCAACACACACACGCACACACATACACACTGAATTTGGCTATGGTTTTGCGATTGCAAATTGAATTTCCGAATTTAATTGGATATAGAGAGAAAGAGAGAGAAATGGTTGCCAAAATGTGCATTTGGTGTGTGTAACGCATCAAAATGATCACAAGTTTAAAGAAAAAATATAATTCAATTTCAAACCAAATTCAATGGAATGGATTACGCTAATACCAATTTTCTATTTGACTCGATGGATTCGTTTTCCGCAAAATAGGAATACAGTGTCCAACTGACATTCCGAGAACAATGGTTAGATGAACGACTTAAATTCGACGACATACAAGGTATGTACAGTCATCTGTTTCAAAATTTCACTTGATCCAAAGCTGCTGATGCCAAATTCAAAAAAATATGTTCGCAGGTCGTCTCAAGTATTTAACATTGACCGAAGCAAATCGTGTTTGGATGCCGGATTTGTTCTTCTCAAACGAAAAAGAGGGACACTTCCACAATATTATCATGCCAAATGTCTATATCCGAATCTTCCCAAACGGCTCCGTACTTTATAGTATACGGATATCATTAACATTGGCGTGCCCAATGAACTTGAAATTGTATCCATTGGATCGACAAGTTTGCTCGCTACGAATGGCTAGCTGTAAGTTGATTTAACAACAAAACGAGATAGGTTTGACAAAACGGACACGTTTAATTCAAGTTGCATTTGATATTTTCAGACGGTTGGACCACGGCTGATTTGGTGTTCTTGTGGAAAGAAGGTGATCCGGTGCAAGTGGTAAAGAATCTGCACCTACCACGCTTCACATTAGAGAAATTCTTAACCGATTACTGTAACAGCAAAACCAACACAGGCAAGCGTCATTTCATATATATATA